CAACAGTGAATGCAAATTGGATAGAATGGGGGCATAGGCTTCAGAGCTGTCAATATTTTAGTCTTAATATTGCAGCCTCTGCTCACCCAGCACACGCCTTTCCCAAGGTACATGGACTACGGACGTATCAAGCACACACAGGAGGTCGTGGTTGCTGTCCCTGGCTCCACTCGGCTTGTGAGCTCTGGCCTCGGTTTTCACATTTTCTACTTTCCTTGTCAGACTTCTCAAACCATTACTGATCTGATGCAGCGTTAGGCAGTGCTCCTAGAACGCCGTTCTTTCTGAGCAAGGGTGCCGTGAGGGAAAAAAATCACTAAAGGGAACCATATGGCTTTCGAGCCAACTCATCGAGTCCTCCAGATGCCACCTCAGCTGGTGTCTTTTGACTTGGAGACTGTGTAGGGGAGAAGAGAAAGGGTCTCTTAATGTGTGTCTCTACTGAGAAGGATCTTGTGCCACATCAATGATTAGGGGAAAGATGCCTGGGATTGAGGCTGTGATGTGGTCATATTTTAGGGGTGGATAGGTATGGTGATATCTTGGTGGCATGACATTTGTCACTCTTCAAAGGAGAGGTCTCATGAATGGGGAAGGTGAATGTCAGGGATGTGAGGGAGGGAGACATCTTGGTTGTGACTTTTTGGGGCCACTGAGGAGCAACTGGAGCAAACGGGAACCTGGCAATCGTCTAGTACCCCAGAGCACTGGGTTCATTCGTGGATTGATCAACTCGCAATAGATGGCTTGATAAGAAATTGTCACAGTATTGCACCCAGGTGTGGAAGTCATTGCTCCTTGCGTATTAAGCACTGTGCCACAGAGCTCTTATTCCTCTGTAGAGTACATTGTCTTCTTTCTAAGCACGGCTATGATAGGGCCAGGAGCCTGGCTTTCCCTACCTCCTGTTCCTTGGGTAGACTTGCTCTCTTTTCTGTTGTTCTGTTTCCTATTTCAAGACTTTGCAAATGTTCTCAGGTTAAAAAAAATCATATCTGTTGCTAAACAGAGTACATTTCCAAAAGGCTTTGTGGAATCTAAGGTTCCAAGAGCATTCCCGTCTCTGAGACAGTGTTTTTTCTTCTCGCCTACAATTATAGTTTCCTTTTTTTACCCTGGTGGCAGCTTCGTGAGTTGTGGCTGGAGCTTGTATCTGTGGTCCCTGAAGGCAAACAAGGTGGGAGTGGGGAGCATGACGTCACTGTGGTCCTGGAGACTGGGCTTGCAGTTCCCTATCTTAGGCCTTGGCTGTGCTGAGGCTTGTGTCCACCAGCCAAATGATGTAGTTTGGACTCTGGGGTGATAACGAACATTAATAAACCATTAGCTCAAGGTTCTGGGACCCCAGGAAGGTACCCAGTGGAACTGTGGAGTTGAAGGCTTCCCTATAAATACGACATTTGTAGCCAGGCTCCTCCAGGTTATAGGTGAGGACCCTGTGGGTCCTGGCAGCCTGAGTTCAGGTTCATCCGTCTTATTAGTCATCTTGCTTGTTGTCTGGTCCCTGCTGGACTTTGCCTGGGCATGGTGTTGGGGTCAGCTCACCAGAGAGCTTTGTTGTAAGATGCTCATGATCGCATCACATGGGTTCTTTTTTCGCCTGTGTGTACATGCTTACATGGTCTAGGTGGAACCAAGTGAAATTCTCATTGCTGTAGAAGGAGCAGCAGGCTGCGTTCCTGCCACCCGGCTCCCACATGGCTAGCTTTATACCTGAAATAACAACACACAAATTGTATTCTTTTAAATACTGCTTGGCCCATTAGTTCTATCCTCTTATTGGCTAACTCTCACATCTTGATTAACCCATTTCTAATAATCTGTGTAGCACCACGAGGTGGTGTTTTACAGGGGGGCGGGGGGAATCTTAGCCTACGTCCATCTCGGAGAGAACTATGGCGTCTGCCTCACTTCTTTTCTTCCCAGCATTCTCTTCTGTCTACTCCACCCACCTATGTTCTGACCTATCAGGCCAAGCAGTTTCTTTATTAATTAACCAATGAAAGCAACACATAGAAAGAAGACCCTCCTACATCACATTGCTCAGGCTTTTCTGACCTGCACTTCCAGTTTGTCTCATAGACAAACACTAGCCATCAGAGGGACAAAGCCTACTAGTGATCCTGTTTCTGCTTTGTCTTTTCTAGTTGCTGGGGATCTGGTCCTTAGAGTGGGGAATGGGGCTTTGCTCTGGATGAGCCCAAAGCCTCCTGAAAGGAAGATAGGGTTTTTGAAGTAGGTGGGGGCTGGGTGGGAACATGAGTGATAGTTCTGGGGGGCTCTGCTGAGACTCTCCATGTTCCAGTCTCCAGGATCCTGGAAGCTGTGTCCATAGTTCAGGCAGGGTAGGAAGATGGACCTGGCCTGGCATGGTAGAGCGGCTAGGTCAAGGCTGTATGGGGGCAGGGGCAGGACTGACATTTCCATGCTGCCTGAACTGGGAGATTATCTTCTTCTATGTCTGGTCTTTGGTCACACCCATCTAGCTTAGCATCTTCTGCCTCTTAGATAAAGGAAGGTTCAGGGTGCCTTTGGCCTCCACACTTCTCAGTTTTCTAGGAGTTGATGTGGCATCCAGGAGGAACTGAGGTTAGGGGAGGTCCAGGCAGAGGCTGGGAAAGCTGTTCTGCATATGTACACAGTGGAGTGGAAGGCTCTGTAGCAGTACTAAAGGAGATGATGTCCATGGGGATGTATGGTGTTCTCTGTAGAAGTAGACCCTCTGTGGGGAGACAGCTGCCCTTTGAGCTGCTCAGAAGGAGCATGGAGGCAGCCCTGGCTCCTCAAGCCCAGCCTATGGCCTCCTGCTTCTTATCTGCCGCAGTGCTAAAGTTGAAGTGTGTCCTCATGAATCTTGAAGCCCATTGTGGGTAGTGCAGTCCCTGTACCTTTCTTTTTATATCCACTTGGGTATTATTTACAATCCACTGGTCATGATTACGAGACCAGTGAAGGCACCTGATGTCACATTTTACATGCCTAACTTGGAGCCCCAGTAATCTATCACTATAGGGGGAGGCCTGGACACAGCACCCACTTTCTTTAACTGAATAAAGACTGTTTACTTATGGGACTGTAGCTAGGTGTTAGAGCACTTGCCTAACATGCAGGGGGCCCTGGATTGGATGCACTGCATTGCAGAAAGGGGAAAAAATAGTAGTTGAAGGCTAGTTCTGGGTTGATGAGGAAAGATGAATTAGGTTCTTGTCCTGAGCTGCAGTGGAGAACACCTGTGGTATTAAGCAGGAGCCAGGCAGCCTGGCCCACACCCTTCAGAGGCTCAGAGGAACCCACAGCCTGTCAGTTGTAATCTCAGACCTACCGTTAAATTCCAGCCCAGTAGCACTTCATCTACGCCGATGTCTGGATGTGTTTTCTTCGCGTTACTGTATTCCAGGGAGTGGGATGCTAATTGGGTGGGACACAGCAATTTCTTCTGTTTTGGTGAATGTCCAGACAGGATAGTCCCAGTTCACTTTGAACTCACTGTGTAACCTAGAATGACCCTGAACTTCTGATATTTATGATTCTGAGTGTGGAGATTGCAGGCACGTGTCACACCCGGTTTTATTCCTTGCAGGGGGTTGACTCTTGGATGTATTGTATGTTAATAACCAAGCTCACAGACATCTGTGACTTTTGGCTCCGCCCCACTGGGAAGATCCTTGAAAAGTGCGTGCAGACATGGCCAGAGTTGTTCCTTGAAGCAGGCCACTGCTCTGGAGACTGAGTGAGACAGAGATGTCTCCCTGCTGGCTTGAGGAATTTTCTAGGTAGCGGCTGCATAGCCTGCATTTGCTTTGCTCGCCGTGGTACAAGGCTCAGCCACTGAAAAGCCACACAGAGGAAGGTGGCAGAAGACTGTGGTGCAGATGTCTTTGACTAAAGCACCTGCTACTTTTCTTTTGGTCTTGAGTGTGGCAACCTGTCGTTCAGACTGGGCAGATAGTTTTAAAGAAAGGTTTCTTAATGAAAGCTGTGTAAATTAATAGCTCTTAGCCCCCCCCCCCAATTTTGAGTGTGGATATATTTGCAAATAAAAAACTACCACACAATGCCACGATACTATTGTTTTGACGTGTCTCGCCTCCTATAGCCTCTGCAGGCCATCCAGATCCTACTGATTTAGCTTCCTGACCAGAAATCTCCCTCTGGGCGACATCAGGGTTTCTCTGTCACTGCAGGGCAGTGACGTCTGGCCAGTGTTGGTTGTAACCTCCTTGGTGTCAGGTGGACTGTCTTTCCCTGGTCTGCTTGGTCTCATCTAAGCTACCTGCAGGGGAACAGCAGACAGAAGCCTCTGGCCCTGAGACCTGCTGGGTCTAAAGTACCATGCTCCAGAGAATGCTGACCAACTTGACTTGGAATGTGTTGTGAGGGACTTGGCTTTATGAACAACTTAAGAAATATCAGAAGTCATCTGAGAAAGACTCTCGAATGAATTACATTGGAAAGAGACGTGCAGCCTGTGGCTGCATTGTGGTGGACACTACCACAGGCTGTCACTTATGACAGGAAGTGGCACGGGGAGTGTGACAGTCATGTGAGCAAAGCCATGGACTGTGGTTGTGGTGGTGTCAGGTGTGAGGCAGGCTGGGAGATAAGCACCATGACTGAGTCCTCCAGGACCGAGGGACCCTTTGTCTTTCTGAAGCACCCCTAACCACCCTGGCTGAATCACCTCTGTCTCTGAGGACCCTAGTATCCAGCAGAGATTTTTCTGTACCCTGCAGTCTCGCAACTGTTTCGAGGTGTTAGCTATCTTTTTCTTTTTTGTGAGATTTCAGAAAAGTGACTGTTTTAGTAGACTACTAAAAGATGAAAAGCTGACCTGATACATGGTCAGGTCCGCGCAGATCAGGCTCCTGCCATAGTAACTTAGGGGTCTGGTGTGATCGTTCTTTAGTGCCCCTCCGTCCCCACCAAAAATGACATAGGGGACATTCAGATTTGCCTTGAGTTGTGGCATGTCGCCTCACACTTCCCATTCTCTCTTGCAGATGCTTTTGTGAACAGCCAGGAATGGACTCTCAGCCGATCTGTCCCGGAGCTCAAAGTGGTGAGTAGCACCTCTGGCCTGTGGGCGGGAGGAGCTAGAATAAGCCTACAATAAGTCTGCAAGCTTCCCCATATCTACCCCTTCTGTTTCCTGGGGCCTGAAGAGCGGAGGCTTGCTCCGTCTGGGGTGTGTACACCTGGGCAAGGCTGTCACTGGCAATAGGGAGCCAGAACTTCGAGTTTGCATGGAAGAGCCATAATTGCCATCCAGCAGGTGGTGTCTGTACATTCCCCCCACCCCGGCTCTGTGCTGTTCTGTGTCTGCGTCACACACATGCACTTGTATATACATACCACCGTGGACTTAACCTGTCCCTTGCTGGGTGTTATGGCAACCTCTGTAACAAGTGGTCCATAGTCATAATTTTTGTCAAAAAGTAATGACTGTTTATATAATTATGAGCTCCTGGCATAAGTTAAGAGTTGTGCTGTTAATAAAAGCAACTTCCAGCAGAGTTAAAGCTCATAGCTGGCGTCTGTGAATGTTGTCCATTGCAGTTGCCTCTTAGAGCCCAGTTCCGTGGCATGCCTCCAGCCTTAGCGTGGAAGGAAAGGATGCCCGTATTTTAAATAACTGTGTTGTTTGTCATGAAACGTGAGGCTCTTAGTCGCGTTTGTATATACACGCACACTCTCTCTTCTGTTTTCCCTGTGCTGGACTCTGACTTACCTGCTGGATGACAGATGAGCCCCTGTCCATTAGCACGTGCTAGGCGGTGGAGGACCTCAGTGTGGCCTGCCCACTCATTGTGCATTTTCCCATCCTGTTCATCCTTTCTCCTGCCAGCTCCCCAGTGACTTGCCTCAACCTCCAGGGGCCCACGTTTCTTCTTTATGCTGCCCAGCCTCACTGATTTAGAGAGGATGGGATAAGGACTTTTATGTCTCACTGAGATGGAAGTGAGCCACTTCCTCCAGGACACTGGCGCCTCTCAGCAGTGCCAGCGAATGAGACTGTTCACTTATGGAAGACTGCCGTCCTCCCAGCCTCTGGGGTTCTGCAGGCTGTCCCTGAAACAGCTGTCTCGTCTGTCTTCTGTGCTTCTTAACTACCATAACTTGTACAGTATTAGAGTGTTCTGGAAATACCTGATGAATGGATGACCCAAAGGTGCCAGTGCCATTAATGGGACCTTTTTGTAAAGACTGGCCAGTTTTAGATACTTCTGGTAAGAAACCCAGGTGCTGACTATAGTCAGTGACAAACAACAAGACCAGGGTGTTTCCCACAAGGTGTTTATGAAGTACTCCATCCTGGGCATGCCCTGCCTGCAAGTTTCATGTAATTATGGCCTTCAATCCTGACAATTACCCCAGGAGGGGCAGGTCCTGTTGTCACCCTGTGCTACCGATTAGGTTTGGGACATGAAGAGCTTCCTCAGACGCCATCTAGAGTAGTGTAGAGCTGGGATTTGAAGCCAGCACTGCCTTGGAGAGCCTTCTGTGAATCTGTCCCCACTGTTGCCATAGCCTCTGGCCCCAGGTTTTCATTTAAGTCAGAACAGCAGCAGGGTGGGGTGGGGTGCTTCAACCTTCTGGCAGCATAAGAGATGACTGGGAACTGATGTTACTGTGGGTTATCTTACCGAGAGCCAGCCTGCACTTAAAGATGTTGCAGGCTTCAGGGCCTGAGTGGTTTTTGTTGACTGGTTTGGGCTTTTTTAGGCAGCATCTTACTTATTTCCTTAGCTGCTGTGGAACTCACTATGTTGCCCAGGCTGGCTTTTCATTACCATCTTCCTGGCTCAGCCTCGCAAGTGCTAGAATTAAATAGGCTAGTGCCACTATGCCTGGTCTCGTCCACATATTTTTATCAGCCAATAATAATTTGAGGATGAACCAAAAATTTATTTTCTGCATGTGACTTTCTGTTATAAGAATTTGGTGTGTCTAGCAAGTATTGACATTTAAAGAGACAGTGTAGGATTCTTCTAAATGTGACTTTGTTAAAGCTGGACTGACTTGAGGTCACTGTGATTGACTTGTCCTATAGTCAAGGGCTCATCTGTGGTTTGAGGGCCTTGAACTCTGCCGTGGTGTGTGCCCTCTCATGATGGCATCTGCAGGCACCTCGTTGTCAAGGGCACCTCACCCTATCCTTGTGCAGTAAGAATGCTCAGGTCTGAAGAAACACCCTTTTGTTCTGTGAAGCATTTCCCTTCCCATGCCCATAGGACTGTTACTGTTTCTGCCCTCATGCAGCTCCTGAGGTGGCCCTTTAGGTCATTGCCTTGGGACCCTCAGCCCTGCTTGGAAATGTAGCCATAGAATGATGTCACTGTGTCCCAATGGATCTTTTGTGGAGTATTTTTCAGTGAGTCTTTTGGAATGCATCAGGATACACAGTTCACTGTTGCTCCTTGTGAGAGCGGTGGGCCTCTTTGAAGTTGTGGTGTAGTTGTCTTCAGCCCTGCAGCTTGGTGCTGGGCTGTGTAAGCTCTGTGCCTCCGCCTGGGTGGAAGCAGTAGGCACCTTGCCTGTGGAGGTGCCACTGCCTGTTTTGCTTATACTCTCAGCTGGGGCTTTTAACTAAAAGGCTCCATTTGATTTGCAGTAGAATCGTGTTCAGTAGTCGAGTAGAAAACACGGGGTGCTAGAGAATTGAGTTTATAAAGGTGCTGTGCTTTGCTTCTTCTGCTAGACGACATAGGGCACAGAGCCTTAACTGATGGCTTGTGCAGGTGAGGCAGGTGACCGCTTCTGTCTGATGTACCCAGCTCTGTCATTATCAGGGTGCCCCCTTTCTGTCCATGAAGCCCATTGGCTGAGTTATTTCCTTCTGTGCAGGTGACACTCAGGAGTGGTTGTCACAGTTTCACAGGAGGGCCACATCCTAACAGATGGTAGTTTCTGCCAGTGTTTCAAGTTAAAACAATGCTGCTCTTATCTGTGAGATGGGTGCACAAGCCGAGCCACCTTCATCCCCAGCCCAGGGTAGCTGGCACTGGTCTGGTCAGGGATGTGCCATACCTTTGGCCATTGTTGCTGAAAAGAGCGGCTGGTGTCACCACACAGAGAAATCCCAGCTGCACAGTGCGGATTTCTTCCTCCAGGAAGAGAAAGTGATCTTAATTAAACATTTCATTTCTGTGGCTTGGATTTTTCTCAGCTTGAAGCTGACAAACAGCAGGTACCCTTGAGCAAAAGAATAATTAATAGGCAGATATTCTCAGATTGTGGAGGCTCCAGGTAGGAAGATGCAAGCCTGGAGAGGAGGCAGCTTTGTGCAGGAGCTGTCCTTATGCTCTGGCCCTCAGCCCAGCTCTCAGCGTAGAGAGAGCTCATTTATACTCACTAGTGTTAGTCACTCATCAGCCATTCACACACCTATTACGTGGGGGCTGTGCATCTTCCTTGGAGTGGGTGCCTTGGCAGGACAGAGAACAGGATGAGTAAGGCACAGTCCCTTCCCGTAAGGAGTGGCGAGTCAGGTTAAAGGTTCTGTGTTCTTGCTGGCCCCAGGTGAGGCTGTGGCATGAAATTGCCCTCACCCATCCAGACTGCTGTGACAAGATATGGTGGTTTGTGAACAGTAAAACCTGTGTTCATAGTTCTAGAGGTTGGAGTCAAAGGAGCCTGCAGATTTGGGGGCTGGTAGGTTTTAGGGGCGTTTTGTTCTATAGATCACAGGTGAGATGTTCTTTCCTCTCTCCTGCCTGCTGAGCCACATTCAGATATATGTTGGTTTTCATGTGGATCCTCTCAGAGATCCCTCTCTCCCATGCGTCTCCTGGGGCCTGGGGACACAAGGATTCAGAAACCAATAGACATGGTCTCAGGTTGTAATGGCTGAACTGGCTGCCAGTCCTGAGCTCGAATAGGATTTGGGGCTCTGATTAATCAGTGTGGAAAGTTCTAGTCACCTGGAGACAGCAAACCCTGTAGAGATGAGATTGATAGTGCTTGAATATAGGCGACAAAGCCCGGAAGTAGGAAGCAGAAGCCTGCAAGCTTGGCGAGAGGGTGAGGACAGCCTGTGGGTGTGGAGATGGTCACACAGACCAATCGTCTGTGGGGCAGTTGGGACATCAGGGAAGAACTTGGGATTCATATATGGTCGTGGAGCAAAAGTTCGAATGCACAAGGCCGCTGAGTGGAGCAGCTTCCTGGAGGGAGGGCGGGAGAAGTGCAGGGCACCCAGCAGAGCCAGGTGTCCTTTCACTAGAGCACAGGGGTCAGCCTCGCCACCCTGGTTGTTGGTGGACAGCGGTACCCACACCACCCTTGCCCTCTCCTGTTATTTTCTACCCTGTGTGATCACCTTGACTGTCTCTGCCACAGCTGTGTACTTTTGAGAGGCAGGCTTGCTGTCTCTACTCCCTTCTCAATCCCAGTTACTCCTTCCTCCAGCTTTCCCAATTTCACTTCCTTAGGGTGGAATGTACCAGATGGCCCTACTGCAGACAGCTCTGTGTGCGGCATTGCGTGTTCTGTGGAACCCTTCCATCTTAGTGTATAGGGAGGCTCCTACCCCATGGCAGTTGAGCCGGTACACATGTACCCTGTAAAGCCAGCAGGGGCATTTCCGGAAGGATACCAGCTATGTTGACACCCTGACAGCACCAGGACTGGTAAAGACAGGAGCAGCTAAATCAAGGTTGACTCTGTTTCCAATAGAAATAGTTGCTGAGTTCATTTTTTAATCTTTCTTCAACATTTTCTCAGGGTGATTATAACCCCGTGTGAGGTTACTGAGTATTTTAACCTGTGTGTGCAAAAAAAAAAAAAAAAAAAAAAAAAAAAAAAAAAAAAAAAAAGCTAAATAAATGATTTAACCACCCCTAACCATTGTCTTTTTTTTTCTGCAGGGAATTGTGGGTAACTTGGCCAGTGGCAAGTCTGCACTGGTGCACCGATACCTGACAGGCACATACGTGCAGGAGGAGTCTCCAGAAGGTATGTTGTTCGGCAGGTGGTTAGTTACCAGTTTAGGGTTTAAATTTTTTCTTTAGCATATTCTAAAGATGACCCATGCCAAAGCCGTAAGAAAGCCAGCAAGCATCAAAGAGACTTAGGTATACTTTCCCTCTGATAGGGGCTTAGTGCATTCACTCCAGCAGTTCGAGCATTAATCGTGAGATGCCCTTGATCCTTGGTCCAGTGCTACTCCTTTGAGTACTGGTCGGACATCTCTCGGATCTGGACACTGACTTTGTAATACTGTGTAGTCAGAAATACCAGCGTTTCTAAATTCAGTCCAGATCCCCCACTGTGTGTATTGAGTATGTTCCCTTTATATTGTATTACAGACATGTAATAATCATTTTGCATGTGAATTAGGCATTTCTTTTGCCATTAGACATTTTGATTCTTCTGTTGACATATCCATGTCTTACTGTGGTTCTGTTTCTTTTTTTTTTCTTTTTTTTTTTTAACTTTTAAGTAAGATTATGAGAGAGGTAATAGGAAACCCCGTAGTCCCCTTAATCAAAGTGTAACCCACAAGCCATTTTCTAAAATATATTTTCTCCCCATGTAACCCTTTGAAATTCAACTCTGAGACACTGAATTTCTGGTTCCTTCTTTTTCTTACTGGCTGTTCCATTCTTTGCAGATATGGACGCAGGTAACTATACATTTCTTCATGGCAGTGCTGTCTCGTTCTGGAGCGAGCAGAGGCACAACCTTGTCCTGTAGCGTTCCCTTCCCGCCTCGTTCTGTGTCTCATCCTATTTTGTTTCATTTCACCTTTTTCTTTTAAGTTCCGCATTCCACCCTGTTTCGTCCCTTAGCTGTCTTCTGAGCAGTAGTCCGAAGTAGCTTCACGTGTTCCCTGTAACACATGTTTTAGCCATTTAACTCTTGTCCTAAAGACTGGAACCATCTAGAAAGAACAAAATTCTGAGGGCTTGCTTGGGGCTCTGCCACCATTCTGTAGTGTTTTCCAACCATGTTTTGAAAGCCTCCCGGCTGTCACGTCAGGGAAACACCCACTTCCCAAATTCTCCCCCAGGATTGATGATTTGGGAAGGGGACAGCATCCAAAGGTTTATGCATGAGACCAAATAGACAAAGGCTTGATCTTGTGGGGACTATAGACCCAGGTACTCAGAACTCACAGCTTGGAAGAGCTCCCTCTTCCAAGATAGGACCCACCAGCCCAGGGCCGTGCAAGGGCTTTCCTCTCTGAGTGTGAACGATCGCCACAGCCAGCTTGAGTAGACTTTGAGTTGGTAGCGCTTCTGTCTCGGGGCTTCTGTGTTGTGGGACTCACTGTCGTGAAGTTGGTAAAATCCGTCTACCAAAGGTCTGCACTGACCCAGCCGCAAGGCAAACATACGCCTTTTTCAGCATCCACATTTTGGGCTAGGATTGCTGGAAGTTCCAGGCCAGCCCCGCCCCTGGTTCTCTTGCTGTCTCTCTGTGGCACAGATTTCTAGGGATTTAGAGGTAGGTGGTACTGTAGTCGCTGATTCTAAAGGGAGAGGCAGGACCACATCTACATTTGATCAGTACTGTGGTGTCGGTCATTTCCTGTTGGTCATTCAGTCTGTCCTAATACACCTGTGTCCAACAGTGTAGATTGTGACCTTCTATTTTGATCAGCACAGTGGTGTTTCTCTTGATTGTTTGCACATCAGAAGTAAAAATTTTACCCTGTGAGATGAGATGCTAACACTCCCTCCCCTGATCTGCAGAGTGGGAGTTTACCACTGCACTGACAGGCACACAGCTGAAGACTCTTGGATCTGAGAGACAGAATTGAGGATGTCTCTCTCTTCACACCCTCACCTGCCCACCTGTCCATCCTCTGACTGTGGACCTTGGACCTAGGGCAGTTGTTCTGTGTGATGGGAGATAGAGCTGTGTTCGTGTGATAGGGCAACACCATGCCCAGCTGTTCCCTGACAGGATACAGCTGCATCTCTGCGAATGAGGAGGCCTCTGGGTTGCTGGAAGCCCTTGGCCTGGGGAGCTGCCCTTGTGTTGCTGTCTGAGATGTAGCAGGTAGCAGTTACTGTCTTTGTGCTCCTCAAGATCTGACAGCTGATTTCTGTTCCCTATCCCCTTGATCCACGGGCCCTACACCAGCGGCAGGACGCAAAGGAACATGAGGTCATCAGCCTTTGGTTCCTCACACTCCTGATTTGCAATCCCAAGATTCTTCTGTGGGGTCAGGGAACTTAGAGCTGGGAGGTGGTTGCACTTTTCCCCATGAGTTAGTGTAGCCATCTATCCATGCTAACAGAATTGGAGAAACTGTATATAAGGGCTCCGGGATCAGCATCTCTTTTACCGTCTTTATCCAGCAGTGTGGAGTCCTGAGTGGTGGGGGTCTCAGGTGTGCAGGAAGTTGTCAGAAGGCTGTAGCTCCATCTTCCCTTCAGGGACTCATCACCCATGTGGGAAGGTACAGCTGTGTAGGAGGACTGTGGTTGGTGCCTGGTTGAAACCGTGCGGCCCTCTGATTTGTCCTCTGTGATCCTTCATTTTCCATGGCTATGGTTAGTTGCTTTTGAAAACTGGTTTATTTTTAGTTTAGCCCACATTTGAGAGGCTGAATGTCCAAGATCAGTCAGTTCCATGTTTGGGGTCTGGTGAGGGCATCTCAGTCAGAGCATGTATGACAGGGACATGACGAGACAGGAAGCTACAGTGTGGGATGGGACCAGTGTTGCTCTTTACAACAGTGCTACTCCGGAGAATGAGCCATGATCCCTCCAGGCCTGTGTTCGTCCCTTCTGAGCACAGCGTCTCCCGCGAGTAGTTTCTCTGCGCTGTTACCCACCTGTTAAAGGAGTCAACGCTGGGAAGCAGGCTTCCTCTCTGCAAATCTTTGCATACCCACTCAAATCATGTCTAAGCCACAGAAATCCCCCCGTGCTGGAGCAATCAACTGGACAGCTGCCGCTCTACCGTCCACATAGCTGTGTGTCTGCCCCTGTGCAGCTCACTGGATTCTCCCTATTCTTGGTCATGGAGTTCGGGGTTGTTCCTCTGGTTTAATACATACAAAATACCTTTTGTTGTAATCCGCACTTGCCCCTGAGATGTTTGGGTATTGAGAGAGGGATAATGTGTCGAGGAGCTTAGAACAGAAATCCACTCTTTGAGAAGAGAGCTTCCCCTTGGCAGGAACTTCCTGGTGCAATCATCCCAGAGTGTTTTCTTCAGATGCCTCTCGGCAGCGCCTCACAGGGTGGCTCAGTTGTCTTTTCTTGAGTGACACCTTTTTAGTTGACACTTTATTCTGTGGGGGAAGAGAATTGACTTGAAAGCCTTGGAGATGCAGTCCAGAGAAAGCACTTTATGCTTGATGCTACTTTTAATTAGTGACTTAGGGCAAATAGTTTGTCTCAGCAAGGAGTCTGTGATCCGTGCACAGAGCTCAGAGACGGTGGTTTGTGTATAGGCGGTCAGTCTCCTTCATGAGAGTGTATGAGCGAGTGTGTTTGTACATGTGTCTCTGATGTATAATTGACAGCGGAGTCCCAGGAAAGTCCGCTGGCAACTTTGCTTCCTTTAGGAGAGGTCGGCGCAGCTCTCGTGGTGGTGTTGAATGGTGGTATCTGCCCTCTGATTTTCCCCCAGCTTTCGCTGGCTTTCGAAGTCCTGGTGTCCGTGGCTGTTGAGAGCCCCTCTAGCCTCGGCGTCTTTTGTCACGTCTTGTTTCTCCACGTTGTCATTTCCTTTTTCCCAAGAGAAGAACACCAGTGGGTTGATTCATGGTCTAGCCTACTCTAGTGTGGCTTCATTTGGATGCTAATAACTCCAGGCTCTGTTTCAAATAACAGGTCCCACTCGTCCCCAGCATGGGCTTTTGCTGTTGTTGGTTTGTTTCTTTTTTTGGTTTGTTTGCTGAGACTCAGCGTGTCATCCAGATTGAACCGTAGCCGCCACCCCAGCCAGCCTCCTGAGGGTTGGAGTTACAATTGAGGGCCACTACAGTCGGCTTAGTGGTGATGGTTAGGATGAATCTTTTTGGGGGACACAGCTCTACCCCATTTGTATGGTGTTTAATCAGGCACTATACCCAGAGCTCTGGAGGAGGGCTTCCCCTTTATCTCCTCTCCTGGACATGGGCTGATTAGTGCGGCTGGCATTTGAGTCCTACAGGACCACCAGCCTGGGTGTGACCTTCACACCTCCCTTTCAAGGCCCTATTAATAGCTGCTAATTAGAGTTGTGAGCTGTGTTTGTGATTTCACTTTCCCCCTCATGTGTTAGGTGCTTAGCATGCAATGTGCACCTGCCTTCCCTCAGACTGAACCCTTGTGTTTTAAATGAATCTTAACTCTCTGTGGGAGATTGAAAAAAGAATCAGCTTGTCAGCAGCATGTAGGAGGTGTTGGGAATCATGTCTTATCCTAAGACACTTAGCTTTGTGTCCTCCAGGCACGATAGGCCATGGGCCCTGGACAGCCTCTCTAGGTTTTGTTTCTTCCTGTTTGTGGATTGTGGTCCCCAAGGGCTATGCAGATAGAAGGACACAGTGGCCTCAAGGAGGGGGACCGGTCTGTAGTGATGGATTATAGAAGACTTTAATGTTAAAGGCAACAAACCTGAGAGTGGACATAGCCTGCCTTCGTGCAGTGGGAGCAGTGAACGCCCCTAGCTGATACTTCTCACCCACAACCTGCTGATGGGACAGTGTTGAAATTGTAGGTTAAAGTCATGTTTCAGCAAACCCCCTTTTTTTACCCAGATCAAGAGTAAACAAACCCACATGTGGGTAAAAATTACAGTAGCTGGAGGCTGAAGCCCACCTGCTCTAGGGCTCACCCAGCGCCTGAAGATGTAGGACACCAAGGCACAGTAGGTTCACTCCAAGAGTGACTGTCACCTGCTACAGCTGTAAAGAAGTGACACATCGAGGTGTGGCATGGGAGCTCATGGGCCCGCTGTGCAGTCCACGGGGGTAGAGTTCATGGAAGACTACTTTCTTTTCCCCCTGCCTTTTTCATTGCTCCTTACCTCTTAGCCAGTTCAAATGTGGAGGCCAAGCTTTAAGATTGTGGTTGTCCTGGCTCTGTCTAGGTTGATAGCCAGTAGGCTGTGATGGGGCACACCTCCAGGAGCCCTGTGTTGGCGCCTCTCTGCCCCTGCCCTGTTTCTATACTCTCCTGACTATCCCAGAAATGATTGCACACACCAGCCTCATGCGCAGTACCCCAACTGCACACGTATGAGGGTACACATGCAACATTCTGGAGATCCCCACATCAGGTTTCTTCTCCCCTAGAATCAAAAAGCAAATAATCCAAAGTCTGGTCCTAAGTCACCCATTTTGGCACAAAGTAACCCAAGAAAGGCAGAGGACAGGCAGAGAACAACAGGTGGCTGTTTCACTAGGGAGACACAAGGAAGAGAACGGTAGTGTCTTTCCCACGTGGAAGAGGAATCTGGGTGTTCCCTGCACAACAGAAGAGACTGGAGCAGTTGAGGGAGGTGGAGGAGCCTGTGCATTCTTTCTGTTAGGAAAAGCTGTGGATGTGTGATAGTCATAGCCCCAGGTGAGCAGGAGGTGAGCGCAGTCCTCTAGGTAGGTGTCCTTGGGTGGGGCAGGTCCCCAACCCGTAGAGACTCAGATCTTTCTTTTCAGACCCCATGGCCCTTGGGTGTGAC